CAAGGCCACACCCCCTAATCCTTTCCAATAGTGCCACTCCCGATGAGCCTATGGTGGCCATTTTCATTCAAGCCACTACATTAATAGGTAGTTTTCAAAAGGAGAAATAAAATGATCAATAAATATTTGAAAATGTCATCAACAACCTATCAAGGAAGTCCAAATTAAAATTGCTGGTGAGGGTACCGAGCCCACTGAAAAGTCGCCATGAGCAAGGCCCACCCTCCCAAGCTGAAGAAATTTATGGACAAGAAGTTATCATTGAAGTTAAATGGTGGCTGTCATGTACAAGGAATACTACAGGGCTTTGATCCCTTTATGAAGCTTGTGATTGATGAGTGTGTAGAAATGGCAACTAGTGGGCAACAGAATAACGTTGGCATGGTGGTCATATGAGAAAACAGCATCATCATGTTAGAAGCCTTGGAAAGAGTCTAAACAATGGCTGTTCAGCAGAGGAGTCCACATCCTTCCCCTAAGGACTGTTTGACTGGGGTGTAGAATTGGGTCATGTACGTTTTCATATGAAACTTTTTGCTAAATAAACTTTCGTGATACTCAGGAAAAAAAATTGCTGGTGAGGATGTGGAGAAAGAAAAACCCACATATGCTGCTGGTGGGACTGGAAATTGGTATAGTCACCGTGGAAATTAGCATGGAGGTACCTCAAAAACCAAAACCAACAACAACAAAATCTAAAATTACTACATGACTTACCTGTACCTCTCCTGGAAATCTACCCAAAGGACTCCAAGGCTATGTATCACAGAGATAACAGCATCATACTGGGGTGGGGGTGAGGGGGCTACAACACCCGGCAGAAATCAGTGGGGAAGTTGAAGCCGTAAGCTACAGTTCCCGGTTGAGCTTTCACTCCACGGATGAGCACCTGGTGTTTTGTTTCCTCCGAAGGCTTTATTATATCATGAGATAAGGAATGGGAACATCTGTTAGCAATGGTTTAGATTCCAGCCTGTTCTCAAGGCCGCAATGTTTTTAACACCCTTATCTATCTCCCGGTTACAGACTGAAGTGGCCAGTCTGCCCCAGGACAGGGAGGTTGGGAGGGCCATGAAGACAAACATGCTCAGATCTGAAATGGGGGTGGAAGGACAACCCCACTTCCAGAGCCAGCTTCTCGGCGACTTCAAAGAGCACATGACCATTACCTGTATAGTTTACACTATGGTTGCTATGCTAGTTCTGAGAGCCAATTAGAGCAAGATCAGGAGTCAGGAAGTCCCAGCATGCTTGTAGTCCACTGTCGTCTGGAAAAGAAAAGAATGAACAAAAACATTTTCTGAAAGTTTGAGTTGGTTTCTTAGGTAGTTTTCAGGGAACACAGGCGTGGAAAGTCCCAAGAATGGTGTCATTCATCAGATTCTCCCCAAACTTCAGTAAGCTTATGTTTCTAGCCTTGGTTTGTCAATGAAATAGATGAAATTGGAATAAGGATACTGACTTAATGATTATGAAGAGTAAGTGTGTGATAGATTAAACTACTGACTCCAGCCTGTTACCCTTTCATATGTGTATAATCCTTGCCTATAATTTTGTAGCTCACTAAATAGGTAAAGTATGCTTTCTTCCCTCTTTAATTTAGGTCTGGCCACGTGACTTGATTTGGCCTCTAGAAGGACACAGAAGTAGTGCTGGGCCATTTTTCAGCAGAGGTGTCAAGGACCCCTATGTGTTTCTAGGCTCATTCTTGTGCTTCTATCTTCCCACAAAAAGAATGCATTCCACATAGATCATTGGCTTCAAGAAGAGACATACCAAGTTTGTCTATATTAGTTGAGATGCCCAGCCGAACCCAGTCTACAGCAGAGTTCCCAGCCAAGTCAGACATGTGACCAGTCCCCAGTAGACCACAGACACGTGAACTATTAGGGAGGGAGGGAGGGAGGGAGGGAGGAAGGAAGGAAGGAAGGGAGGAAGGGAGGGAGGGAGAGAGGGAGGGAGGGAGTAAGAAAGAACAAAAGAGAGAGAGAAAGGAAAGAAGAAAGAAGGAAAGAGAGAGAGAGGAAGGCAGGGAAGGAAGGGGAGGGAGGGAGTAAGGAAGGAGAAGGAGAGGGGAGAAGGAGAGGGGAGGAGAAAGGGGAGGGAAGGAGAGGGGAGGGGAGGGGAGGGGAGGGAAGGGTAGGGAAGGGAAGGGAAGGGAAGGGAAGGGAGAAAGAAAGGCCTTTCTAAAGCTAGTCTTAGTCAAGGTTACTATTGCTGTGATGAAATATGAAAACAAGTTGGGGAGGAAACGGTTCATTTGGCTTACACTTCCACTTTGTAGTTTATTACTGAAGGAAATCAAGACAGGAACTCAAACAGGGTAGGAACCTGGAGGCAGGAGCTGATGCAGAGGCCATGGCAAAGCGCTGCTTACTGGCTTGCTCCTCATGGCTTGCTCAGCCTGCTTTCTTATAGAACCCAGGACCAAGTATGGCACCACCCACAATGGCCTGGGCCCTCCCCCATCAATCACTAATTAAGAAAATGCCCGGCAGCCGGATCTCATGGAGGGATTTTCTTAACTGATGTTCCCTCCTTTCAGATAACTAACTTGTGTCAAGTTGACATAAAACTAGCTTGCATAAAGCTGTTGATAGGTAGGGTTAATTGTTACTCAGAAATAGTTTACTGATATAAGATAAAAGGAGTCAAATAATGTCATATGATAATATCAATGTTCTGTTTACTCCGTGAGTGAAATGAATGAAGTTTGGGAACAGTACTTTCTAATTATGAAGATTAACTCTGTGGTAGTGAATTAATGACTGCAATCTGGTACCCTTTGCCTAAGAGCATTTGATTTTACTCGGACTTCCTAGTAAAACTTAAGTAAGTGAAGTATGTTTGCTTACCTCTTTGGTGAGTCTGGCCACAGGACTTGATTTCACCTCCAGAGGGCGGCACAAGTGGTGGGTTGGGAGTTTGGGTGGGGCTTGATGGAGATGGTCTCTCTTGGTTTTGTGACGCCTGGTACCTCAGCCGGAGGACTCCATGTCTGAAGCCTGTTATCCTCTGAAGGTTTGTGTAGTCACGTGTAGCTGTGGGTTCTTCCATTGGCTGAGACACCTGCTGGGCTGTCAAGTGGAGCAGCTACGCGTGGCCTACCCATGTGCGTTGGGCTCTCTGAGACGTGGCAGCAGGGTTCCAAAGGGGAATGTCAGAGAGAGAAGAGAGAGAGAGAGGGAGAGGGAGAGGGAGAGGGAGAGGGAGAGGGAGAGGGAGAGGGAGAGGGAGAGGGAGAGGGAGAGAGAGAGAGAGAGAGAGAGAGAGAGAGAGAGAGAGAGAGAGAGAAAAGAAGAAGAAGAAGAAGAAGAAGAAGAAGAAGAAGAAGAAGAAGAAGAAGAAGAAGAAGAAGAAGAAGAAGAAGATGATGATGATACATCTTTTTATGGCCTTGTCTTGGAAGTCACATAGCAGCGCTTTCTCTATGCACGTGGCCAGAGCAGTCAGGAACCACTCAGGCTGAAGGACTAGAAAAGAGACGTCTAGAGACTGGCTAGAGTTTTCCTGCCTGGCCCACAGTCAGGACAAATCTCTATCACCTGCCAGTCCCACAGCCGCTCAAACCCGACCAAGTAAACACAGAGACTTATATTGGTTACAAACTGTATGGCCGTGGCAGGCTTCTTGCTAACTGTTCTTACAGCTTAAATTAATCCATTTCTATAAATCTATACCTTGCCACGTGGCTTGTGGCTTACCGGCATCTTCACATGCTGTTTCTCATCATGGCGGCTGGCAGTGTCTCTCTCTCTCAGCCTTCCACTTCCCAGTTTTTTCTCCTCCTTGTCCCGCCTATACTTCCTGCCTGGCCACTGACCAATCAGTGATTTATTTATTGACCAATCAGCAACACATTTGACATACAGACCATCCCACAGCATTTGATGCAGTGTAGGAGGTTCTGGAAGAGTGTGCCACTGAGATATTGCTGCTTACTGCATGTGTTTGGGGGAAATATAGTTTGCCATTTGTACCTTCTGTTTTCCTGAAGTGAGGAGATTTTCTCTAAATCCACTGTTTGTACTTAATCCTGCTTGTGTCACTTGATGTACATCATGGTGTCCTCCAGAGGTAGCGGACTTGGAGTGTCCTTGTTCCCCTCGCTGTGCTTTACTTTCTGACGTATCTTTTCTTTTGTGAGCTGGCTCAAAACAATATTTTTCTAAATCTTTCATTTTAATAGGTGTCTGGTTTTCTGCTGAAATCTCTAAAGTCCGTACCCCGGTGTCATACAAATCATATAAAGCTTGCCTTATTGTCTCTTTTTATTTATTTATTATTTTTATGTTATGTACATGGATGTTCTGCCTATATGTCTATGCACCACATGCATACAGTGTGCGCTGAGAGAGGGCACCAGATCCCCTTGGAACTGGAGTTACAGATGGTTGTTAGCCACCATATAGGCACTGGGAATCGAACCCAGATCCTCTGAAAGAACCGCTAGTGCTCTTAACCGCTGAGTCAGCTCTCCAACCCAGCCCATACATTATTTTCTTAAGCATAATTAATGAGAGCGATAATGATCACATTTTCAAGATTTAGCGTATTTAAAAAGTAAGACAAATTATTTTGGCCTGGAAATATAACTCAGTGGTTATATTTGACTCATGTATGCAAAACCCTAGGTTTGATTTTTAAAAAGCCAAAAAACAAAAAGACCATTTTTCTATGCTTAAGACTGCAGGGTGAGCTGAAACAGTCCAGCCGATAAAGGCGTTTGCTCTCAAGCGTGAGTTAGGTCCCTCGGCCACACATGGCAGAAGGAGAGAAGCAACTTCTGAAACTTGTCCTCCCAACATATACACACGAATAAATAAATAAATGTACAAAGGATGAAAGCGGGGTGCGGTGGTACACGACTTTAATCCCAGCACCCAGAAGGCAGAGGCAGTCGGGTCTCTGTGAGTTTGGGACCAGCCTGGTCTACAGAGTGGGTTCCAGGACAGTCAGGGCTGTTACACAGAGAAACCCTGTCTCTAAAAACAAAAAACAACAAAAAGAACAAAATAGGAGGGGAAAGGGGAGGAGGGGAAGGAAGAGGGAGAGGCCGTAAGTGTTTATGACTGTTGTTGATCTGCAGATCGGACGAGAGTAGCCTGAGATCTCATGACAACAATATACATTGTAAGTGCATATGAAACACTCATGGCTGGAGTATGTAAATGTAGGACACGTACCTCTCCAAACTATTTTTAGGATCATTTCTGAATGTGTTTGTTTACTGTATACCTACCACATTTCCCCCAAAGTTTCAAAATTAAGGATGTGTTCATTTCTTTGTGAGCCTTCAACCAGCCCTCTTCCCTGGCTTTGATTTTCATTTGTTGCTTTTTCTTTTTTTCACTTTCAAATACACATCTTTTTCCTACCTTTGTTCATACTGAGATG